AGACCATTACATAATCAATTTGCAATTTGCATTTTCCTTTACGTTGATATTTTTCTTTAGGTTATTGCTCCTTTTTGAGGTTGTTTTGTCTCTTATTGTTAGAGTAGTCAAATGCTAAATACCTGATAAAATTAAAAAAAAAACTTAGAACTTCGACATGGTAAATTTCTGTTAACTATTTTAAAAAAAATCATTAGCCTCGGTTCAATATTTTATCACGGCTCCCAATCGAAATAATTTTTTTATGCATTTAACAGTGCTTCTTATAAAAAGAAGTTAATTGCAATTAAGTTCTTTTATTTTTCCGTAGGATATAATAGGAATAATTAATATACTAATATTATAAATGTGAAAGCTTGTAAAAATGTATGGATGTATGTAATTTGTTATTTTTCTGATTTGGTTAATGTAGTGTAGTGTAGATAACAAGAATAAAAATAATGGATAAAATAAAATAGAACCCTGGATTAACACATAGGCTTTTTATCAACAAAACACGCGAGTGAAGCTGCGTGCGGATGCTAGTAAAATATAAATAAATAAACGAAATTTATTGGACTCAGAGTGTGAAGACAAAAACGTCAAATTTAAAATAAGAATGAAGTAAATAACGGAGGTAGTTTTGGGTGGGCGTTAAAATGTTTGTCTCGTCGCGCAACTATGTAAGCGCAGTTTATAGTTAGTGACGTTTTATCAACAGAGTTGCTTACAGCGCTGAGGTTCCTGGAATTTGATTTGCGGAGGTTGTGTTTACAAACAGTGCACCTTTATGTAAAGCTTTCAGTACTTGTATGCTATTGGTGTACATCTCGTCCATCTGACACGCCCACTAGTAGTTTATTCATCTATGTAGTATATAATGTTTAACTTTATTTACTACAGTTTATCTCAGTATTCGAGGAAAGATATATAATGTGTTTTCGCAGGTTTTTAACGTAAAAATTGGAGAAATGTGAACTATTACGTGGATCCCTTGCCACTCGACGGTCTATAGATTTGTTTTTCCTGACAATAAGACCAAAAATAAATCAATACTAATAAAAGACAGTTTCCAAAAGTGAAATTTTAAATCATCCAACTACTTTGTATTAATAACTAACTACAAACGCACGACTTTTCGACTGCACGGTTGGTGCGGTGGCTGGGCAGCTGGCTGCCGTGCAACGTGTCGGGGGTTCGATTCCCGCACGGAACAACTCTTTGTGTGACCCACAAATTGTTGTTCCGGGTCTGGGTGTCATGTGCATGTAAAATTGTATGTTTGTAACCGCACCCACAACATGTTAACGCAAAGTCTTTTAACTATGTTATAAGTATACGAACACGAACAATATTTTTCGCTTTGGCATTCGATATGCAAAAATTGGAATTCAAATAGGCAGTTAGGTAGTTTAGTTCTCATATGATTGCTTGCATACAGACTTGCGGGACCGTCCCATAAATAGTTCGATGATTGTACAATCGTTCAGTTGAGGTATTGCGTCGCGTGTTTCGTGCGCTGTGCATGTCACGGGGGAGCCCGCGCCGTGCTTCTAAAATGCCATTTGATTTATTTCCATATCGTACTGTTTGAATGCTACTATTTATTCATAGTAATACCTAAAGCGTACATTTTAAATTACTACCTTCTTGCTGATAATACACACAATGTTATATACTTTGTTTGTTTATAACTGCCTTCTCAAGGCTGATAAAGGATATTGTCACTGTGAAAAAATTTACTGAAATATGGTTTAAATAAGTAAATGTAACGGACAGCCTGGGCTGGTCGTTGCCTTAAGCTTATCAATCAGCTGATATTTCGTGAGTAGGGCTAAAATTCGAGTAAATGAAAAACAACACTAAAAGAAACCTCAAAATTGTACTCATTATTATTATTATATTTGAGTCGGTATTCCGATAACCCTTCCAACTGGAAGGCAAATCGTAGTGCTGCGCAAAGGGAGTTATTTTTAATTCATGCTAATAATTGATTTTGAAATAAATTTGTGCTAATGTCAGTGTCGCCGTTTTAATATGTCGAATCGATTCATTTGTGTAATTGTGACACTTGACACTGATTATAATGTTGACTAACTTCCGCTTGCGGCTTCGCACGCGTATGAAAGTAAATTTCGGGAATTATTGCGTAAGTGCTTAACTGTTTAACTTAACGGTGTTTCGAATGTAGAAAACACTAATCTACACATGTTGTTTTGGCCTAACAATATATTTTTCAATATACATATACGCTATTAGTCGTGGTGGCCCGGAGGTTAAGGAGCCCGTTTGTCATGCATGAGTGTGTGGGTTCGAAACCTGGCAAGTGGGCGATTCTTCACATCAATTAAAAAAAATTTAATGATGTCATTATCCTCAACCGAAAATTAACGAGTCTGCTGATTAAAACACAGATAATTATTTTATTAAATTAAATCTCACCACTGCTTACAAGCAACCGATTAAAAATATTGTATAAAATAAATTACTAAGATGCTCAAAAACCTGGGAGGATAATGACTTGTTAAATAAAAGTTAAGGTTTTTTGGAGAATCACCCAAGTACCAATGTGACTTTTGCCTGGAAACCTGGACTTATAATTTCTAATTATAAGTTTGAAATCGCCAACCCGCATTGAGCAAGCGTGGTGATTAATGCTCTAACCTTCTCCGTATGAGAAGAGGCCTTTGCTCAGCAGTGAGCACTTATAGGCCGATGATGATGATGATATACGCTATTATAGTTAAATTGACGATTAACCAATCGATTGATGCGTTAACTGTTCGAGATAATGTGGTTACGGGCCTGTCTAACCACTAGCTATCAGTTCCATTGTTGTGGCTAACCAACATCAATAATAGCGAGTCTGTGTCTAAGCTTATGTGGCTTAATTGGTAATTAATTGACACTAGGCGAAAGTGAGATTGAAACTTATTGAGTGCACACTACACGCTCTAGTTAAAATTAAACTTTGGAGAGAAATTGATTTAAAATAAAACGGTGACATTGACCTCGTTCTGCTAGTATTAAGACGATTATAAGCTAATGATGAACTACAGCATTGTGTTTCGCCGTGTGAGTGAGGTTCATCATCATCAGCCTATAAGTGCCCACTGCTGAGCAAAGGCCTCTTCTCATACGGAGAAGGTTAGAGCATTGATCACCACGCTTGCTCAATGCGGGTTGGCGATTTCAAACTTATATTAGAAATTATAAGTCCAGGTTTCCTCACGATGTTTACCTTCACCGTATGTCAGTGGTGTCTAAATAATCATAGAAAGTACATATAACTCGGAAAAAGTCACATTGGTACTTGCCAGGTTTCGAACCCACGCTCTCATGCACGAGAAGCGGTCTCCTTAACCTCCGGGTCACCACGACACTAGTGACACGTGAGTGAGGTTACCGGAGGCCCAATCCTTCCCCTAATCTTCAAAACCCTAATCCCTAAAAGGTCGGCAACGCACTTGTAACTCCTCCGTTGCGTGTCTCCATGGGCGACGCTGATTTGTTTACCATCAGGTAATCCGTGTGCTCGTTTTGAAATAATTTTGACGTTTATGTATGTTACTTTATGGCCTACTTACGAATCTAAATAAATAATGTTATCTTACAAACAATGAATTACAAATAGAATCCTCACGTATCGTTCAATACATCAGTTGGATGTTATTCCAGACATCCCTTTCACTAAACCTAAAATACGTAAAACTCAGTCACTCAACCTCAATAAATAAACACTAACAAACGTTTCAAAGTGAATGACATCATTAGAAAACGTAGTACATGTTGTTTAAAGAACACAAATAAACCGATTGTGAAGAGAGTCTTTGAATAAATAAAACTAATTTGTTAATCTAACAGCCGACGCTGGCCGTCGATACGTTCAGTTGAAACGATTACATAAGGCCGCGTGCTAGCCAGTGACAGCTACATTTACCACATTTATAAAGTCAATCGTTTGTGTATTTTGTCAAATGAAACACGATTGATTGTATGCATTTTTAAACTTTAAACGTATTTACATTGCTTTGTTTACGTCTTAACTTAACATAACCCTTTTTTATAAAAAACTTAAGAATGACTGCCAAACATATATGTATGTTTATAAACTAGCGAGAAATACTTATACATATTCAAATATTACAAACCTGTCAAGAAAGAGGTTAAGTTTTTAATGCTTATATTCATTATATTAATAAAAAATAATTTGTTTTAATAGCATGGGAAAGTTATAATAGAATAGTGCATTGATCAAGTATAGGTTGAACATCGTTCCATTGTTATAGTCTTACAATCCCACGGGACAATCCGACACAGCCGGAGAGAGTTTAGAAACGAGTATCACTTGTTTCAAGGCCCGGGAGACGTTTGTTTACAGCTGTGTAGAAATGTAGGAAAACCGTGTACCATGCAGCCCAGCTCAGGGATTTGTGAAGTCTATTCAAATTACTCTTTATCAACGGTCTTCATGGTGGTTCTTCATTCTATTTGTTTTAGGAAAATGACTAAGTTGTAACTTGTGTTGTTGTAATTAATAATTTGTGAATGTTTGCCGATAATTTTTGGGTGATTAAAATCTTACATAGCTCGCATCTTTGTTGGCGTTCATTCGTTAGGATATTAAATAAATTCACTACTAACAACTAGTAATATTGTCTATGAAACCCAATTTCTCATTTAAATACTGGGTTTGTTAAACGACGGTAAAAATCAACGAGATGAAAACTGGAAAGATAAGTCTGTCACTATACGTGAGAACTTGTAATTGGCTTTCCGTAGTTTATGTTGGCTTCTATTTTTAGTTAGATTATGCTGTAAGTCCTCCAGAGTGTAATAAATAAATAAATAAATAAATAAAACTAGGACCAGTACAATATTTCCGTCTATGAAGATAATTATCAGATCAGGTGGAAGCATTAACAAAGTACCTATATTTTTGATTTAATTTCTGAGGAAGATGATATTAAGCCATTTAAATTTTTGGTACAGTTCTGGCTATAAATAAAGATTATTCGCAGGTGAAACGTGACATGGTCGCCATCAAGCAAGAGTTGGACACGGTGCAGCAAGTGAAGGAAGAAATCGAAGAGTTGCGTGAATACGTCGACCGGCTCGAGGAACACTCCCAGCGAAGGAAACTCAGACTGCTTGAACAGGTACGAAACACAAACATCATTAACCAAACCCAACACGTAAAACTGCGTATCCCTACAGACAGTACACACACCGATACTAACTCCGGCCGCTTGACTCTCAAGCACCTCTAAATGAGGTTTCTTTAAGGAAATAAAACAATCGCTCTCCGCTTTCGAGCCTAAAAGTAACTAACCGCGTCAAAACTCAACATGTCATCCAAGAAGGTTAAGCGAGCTAAACGATAATTTCATAAAACATTAGTCTGTAGTGGGTACGCACTCATTACCGACATGTTATTAGTTTCAAATTATATTTTATAGTGAAAGCCTTGAAAAATACTTCTATAACAAAGTAGACTACGCTTAGGCTTTTATTTATTTAGGCCGGCCTTAGTAGAGAATGACAATAGCTTTTAAAGCAGATGAAATAAATTAGCAAAAAAACGAGAGAAGACAAGGACAGCGCGACCAGGTACTTAGATGTAATAGAAAAATAATTTATTATACTTCTTGTTATGTACTTAGTTATTAGGTTATTTTCCTTTTTAAATGTATTAAATTAATTTTATTTTTATTATTTTAGAACTGTACAAAGGCTTACTCTTTACATTAATCATGCATGAATATTTAATTAACATTTATAATGGAAGACACACGGTTAAGGCCGAGAAGGAAGGAATGGTAATGATAGGATGAGAAGGGATGGAACCGCTTTGTTCGGAGGGAGGAACTACAAGGCAGGCAGACGGTCAGGCCGCAGAGGTAGGTAACTCATGATGAATTGGATACCAACAGGTTCAAGACATCAGAAGAGCAGCAAAGTACGCCACTACTAGTTGCCTGAAAGTAGACCCACCAGCAGTAAGTGAGGTCATGATGTTCTACACATATAGTAGATGCAAGACATCGTGTAGAATACACAAGGTTCCAAAGCCGAAGACAGTTCGCAAAAGCTGTTTTCCGTTGAAGGTTGGTATCACAGTCTTGTAGAACCAACATGTTCAGATCAAACAAGTCTTCAGATTTCAGGAGTTCGTTACATAATTCAAAACAATTGCTTCTGAAATGAAAATTGGCGTAAAATTGATCATTGCACATGGCAATAAAGTGTAGAAATCATTAAGAGATATGAAACAGTACAAATCATCATTCATTACAATTCCGTCCATCCGCATAGGTTGATCGAACACGTGGGGTGCGCATACTTTAACGTGATTAACCAAACACGAGGCCCCAACGCAATCAGTTTCCTCTAAAAGCATAAAAACGTGTCTCCCATTTTTCCAACAAATATATTATTCCAAGTTTATTTTAATGTTCAAACAAGTTACAAGGAAAAGAGAGAAGTCTATTTCAGTTTATGTAATTATTCTTTGCTTCGCGACCGAAGGCAATTAGATTTTTCCCCGACGCTTTGTACAGTCCTGTCAATATTTGTTTTGTAGACAGTATTAGGTACTGCCAGTCCATTTAATCCTAACAATTTGTCTTGATAAAACTACATATTTTATTGAAATGTGGAAATTTCATTATTTTCTACGCTTTCAAAGTATTGTAGTGCTTTTTTATTTGTTTATTAGCCTGTAGCGTGTTTGTGTGAGAATTAGAACTAGTTGATGTGTGGGCTTCTTAGTTACTGGGCTTGATAATTGTTGGTACGCAAAAATCAAATACTAGATGTTGAGTTAACCTACCGATCAAACAGTTCGAAGTAATATGCTACAGTGGTTGCCCCGTATGTTTGTCTGTAATTATTTCCTTTAAGTTACGTGTTTGTGTATTCATTACTATTATAGTTTTATAAGTTGACTTTGCCGTATGCTTAGTATTGTCAGATATACATTTTAACGACTAAATTATTCAAAATTGGCTTACGTCGCAGAATGTGTTATTGTTTTCATCAAACTACATCTGTCTGTTATATGTGTGCGTTGAATGAATGTTACGAGAAGTGCCTTTGTTCCAGGGCCTTACCTTCTTCCTGTCGTACGCAATCCTCGCTGCGGTCCTGGGAATGCTGCAGTTCGGGTACAACACTGGTGTCATCAACGCTCCTGGCAAGGTAAGATTCTTTATAGTAGTTTTTAATCCCGCAACAATGTGCCGTGTTTCATACAAACTGAAATAAGCACATTTTAATATCCAACGTCGAATTGATGTCAGCACTATAAGTCACAATACACAAGCACTGGGGCATTCACTAACAAACAACATAGTCAGTGTTACGTGAAATCATAAAGAGATTTATTTACAAAACAAAATTCTTATATCTCCTTCTTATAGCGAAGAAGCCCTGAAACTTTCATTTCTCAAGTTATCTCAAAACAAACAACAAAAACAATCCAGACGAACTGAGAAAGCCGCAGCCTTCATTATTTTCAAGCACCGATATTGTAAAAGGCATCATCTCAATACAGCGAATTGCATTTCTCCGATATCGTTCATTAAAATTTCAATTGAAATGCAAAATTCAATAGAAGATCGAGAAATTGTATACATCTAGGAATAAAGGGGAGAAATGAGAGACGAGAAATCGATGCATCTGAATCATCTAACTTGATAAGTGAGGAGCTGGAAAGTCAATTAAGTAATGAAACAGCCGTCCGCGGGACTAGACAAGTTTACCGAAGCGATGTGCCGACATTGGATTCTCCGACTTGTAAAGTAAATGCACACAAACTTGAGGACGGGCGACGATGCAACCAACGAGTTACTTAAAGGCCCGGGTAAATCAATTAGGGGAACCGTCTCGATAGCAAACACAAATTATTTAGCTATCTGAAGGGGAGCGTCCAGGTGTAGACTGCAGGTTTATTGAAGTTAAATCGAGTGATAATTTGTTGACTGGAATAGTTTGTTGAAGCATCGCTTCGTTGGTCGATTACTTTCCAGTTCAACTGTTAGGTTTTCTAATTGATTTCAAATCCTATCATTGCATCTCAATAAAATACAATGGATTAGTAGTTTTTTCTATGAATATTTTTTATTATACATAATAAAGTTATAGTAAAAAAAAGCTTTAATATTAAAACCACGAATGGCCTGGTGGTCTATCTGTTCAATCGGATTATTACGTTTTTAGCAAATTAACACGACTTGACACTTAGGTAATTCAGAATTCTTATTCTTTCAACCATAACATACGCTAGGTAGCTTTGGCTACTAACAAAATATATGTATATTGTATATATTTATTCATACTTGTATATGCAAGTACTCAAGTAACTCATAGTTCAAACAGTTCATAGAAGCCGGCTTACAGTCACGACTCGTAAAGTAATATGTGCCATTGCTATATTGGAAACCAATTAACTGATTACCAGTTAGAGGAAACTCCATACACTAACCTGAATACTTCATTAAGATGTCGAGGTGTAGAACTGCGTGCGACGGCCAAGTATTAATATGGAACGATTCTAAAGACTTCTGTAACTATGAAAATTAAGTCACATAATATACGTGTACTCCCTGTACAGATACATATCATTCATGACAACTCTATTAATGCTCATCCAAAATATCGATGAAATACGACATCCTTGGTACTCGGTAGAGCTTTAATGTGGGAAACCAAGCCAAGGTTCGGCACGACGAGTCGGCTCGACCGAAGTGATACCACGGTCTCACAGAAAACTGGCGTACAACAACTCTTCCCAAACCTTAAATATCCGAAACCCGTATCCCTAACGACTTATCTCCAGCCAAAGGCTGACAACGCTCTTGTAAATTCTTTGGTGTTGCGGGTATCCATAGGCGACGCCGTTTGTTTACCATCAGCTAATACGTCTGTTTGTTTGCCGATCTATAAAATAAAAAAGTTATTCGAGCATAAGCGTGGGAGAGCCATGCTTCGGAACGAATGGGTCGGCTCGACCGGAGTGATACCACGGCCTCACAGAAGACCGGCGTGAAACAACCACAGGGTTGTTTCGCCGTGTGCGTGAGGTTACCAGAGGCCCAATCCTTCCCCGCCCCCAATCCCTCCTCAATCCCTAAATCTCCAAATCCCTAATCCCTAAAAGGTCGGCAACCCACGTAAATCCTCCTTCATAGGTGGCGCTGATTGCTTACCATCAGGTAATCCGTCAGCTCGTTTGCCGACCAATTACATAAAAAAATATATTATGGCCTTTTCCACCAAATAAGTCCATATGTATAATTTAAACTTCAATTTTAACATTTAAGTGGTCAAATGGCGTTAACAAAAATGTTTTCTTTGCTCCATATCAGAACATCGCAAACTTCATGAAGGATGTGTACAAGAACCGGTATGGCATGGATCTCCAAGACGACACCGTGAACAGGCTTTACTCTATAGCAGTCAGTATCTTTGCTATTGGTGGCATGCTGGGCGGATTCTCGGGCGGTATGATCGCAAACAGGTTCGGAAGGTGAGTAAAACCACTTTGACTTGAATGAATTTGAATGTTTTTTTTATTATGAGACTTTTATGTCGTTTATAGTGTGAAGGACAGTATGTCACTCCATATGACAAAAGCATTGGATATCGTGCCTCAAACTAAATCAATGCAAAAATGTATCTAAGCCTTCTTTCTACAAACATGTTACAAATCTATCACAGAGACCAGTAATCGAATTCTCTTTTATTTAAAGTTTTAAAATCTAAAGATGTCTATCGTTTTTAAGCTAACGTATTATTAATGTGCACCAAAACTGTTACGTTGAAAAATTCCTGTCGTATTCTTAATAAGGTCTCAATCCGGTTTTAGGAAATTTCGTCATGAATTATTATTAATTATTACTAATAATCGTGTAAATATTAGTTAGTCCCCAAAAGCCTCAACAACCACCTTAAGAGGCTGACGTTAGGCGGATGGATCAAGGGCCTCATACAGAAGGCAATCCTCCTTGAAACGGCACGTATTGTGAGGAGGTTCCTGTCTCTGGAGCCCTAACCACCGGTAGCTTGGACCTTACTCCCGCTGAGAGTGATTGATTAGAGTGATTTTAATAAATATATGTAAATATTATTATTCGTACTTGAAATATGAAGGAAACATAATGTTGTATGCTTGGTAACAAAAGTATTATTACATGAGTATTAAAACAAGCATTATGATAAAGTAAATGCAAAAGTTTTGGTTATAACTTGCTACCAGTTTGCGGTAAACTTTGAAACTCAAACAAGCTCAAACTCTCAGAAAAAACAGTTCAAATGAATTGAAATTAAAACATAATTATTGAATTTTGTGTTTTAAGTTTATTAAGTTTTAGTCACGAATTTGTGTGCTCATAGCAGAGAGGGGGAGATGAAGATGGAAATATTTTCAAAATCCTTTATGAGATCCCCTTGTCGTAACTTCGTAAAGGTTTCTAATAACCTTTCTAAACCCAAGTAAAAGCAGTTCGTATGCTAAATATCAATTTTCCACAACTATATCAAATTATGATTTATCAACCAATCACATCTTCAAAAATCTATCACACTTTAGCAACAATACAGTTTTCTGTACATTAATTGATTGTTAATGACTATTTATAGGTATATAAACGACATATTTATTCCGGGAAGTTCATCTACACTCAAATCCAACTCGACCATATAAGAATGATTAATTCCGAGTAATGAAAGTGTACAGTGACGTCACAGTTAATAATGACAGCCCTCATTGTTTACCTTTGATCGTTTGCCCGTAATACCATTCGACGCTGGGCAATCATAATAATTGCTACATTGTTCTTGTCCAAAAGTACACACTTACTGAGTAATTGTGTCTTTACAAAAATGAGAGTTTTTGTATAAAAACCGATGACCATATATCATAGAATGTTCCCGATAACTAATATTTGCTAATCCAAAAGTAAGATGTTTATAAATATACTCTTAAGAATTGTTTAGAATTAATCGCATAAAGTGATATCAGTCGAAATAAACGGAAGGATAATATATAGATATATATTTCATTTGGTTCATAGAGAAATTGTTAATGTATTGTTTTTCCTTTCAGTGGCAAAGTGTGTGATATGCTATATTCTGTTAGTTCTTTTAGTCCATCACCTAAATAAATAGAGAAATAATAATTATTTTGATTAACCTCAAATAGCTTTATAATTTCTCTTTAATTATAAAATTATATTTAATAAATTTTGTTTGTTCTAGGAAAGGGGGCTTACTGCTAAACAACATTCTTGGGATCAGCGGCGCGAGTCTGATGGGGTTCACGAAAATATCACACTGCTACGAACTCCTCATATTCGGCAGGTTCATCATAGGAGTCAATTGTGGTAAGTGTCACCTTGTACGAATAAAAATTTTAACCCGCACTGTCAACGCAAGCAAAGCGATGAAATAGACTTGAAGTTTGACAAAGTTACATTATTTTAGGTCCCGAAAGTTGCTTGAAATTGGTCTAGTTGTCGCGAGAAGTTACGTGCGCGAATTGTGTTAAAAAGTTAATTATGCATAACATCCGAAAATAGCTATTTTACAAAAAAAGTTAAAAATATTTTTGCATTCGCAGGGACATATTTTTTTCAAAAGATTATTTCTTAGTAAGAACGGATCTCGTCTCGTAGTAAAGAAACTTTAACAAGGATGTGCTCGTAATATCGAATACCGTCCATTTCGAAAGCATACCAACTGAAGCGTACAACACATTTTATATATTTGAAATCCAAGATCTCGCTTCTCGAAGCTTTTCAAAGTTGAAATCTTAGTTCCGTAGTAAATTTATGACAACAAGGCAGGTAGAGCTTGCGTATTACTTGAATGTTAAAAATGAATATGCATAGATTTGAATACAGCTAAAGGAAGTTTTTATTTATAGTTTTCTGATATGTAGCCACAAGCTACAAGTAACAGCTAAATTGATTACAACAAATTTGTTTTATGAAAACTATTTTTACATTTACAGTTAAGTAACCAAGCTATTTTCAATTTTCCAACATTGCAATAAAGTTAATTATATTAAAATTGTTTCCTAGGGTTAAACACATCATTAGTGCCAATGTACATATCGGAGATAGCTCCTCTAAACTTGCGTGGGGGTTTGGGGACGGTCAACCAGCTGGCCGTCACCGTGGGACTACTTCTCTCACAAGTCCTGGGCATCGAACAGATCCTCGGCACCGACGAAGGCTGGCCTATCTTACTTGGTAAGTTCATCTTTCGTGCTATGTTTTTTTGGTAGCAACTTAACTTTGGAGTCGTCTGGTGGTGAATTATAAACTAGAACTAAGTTCACCCCACGACAGCAAAGATATTACAAGTGTACCGGTCCATGCAGAAAGTTGGTTAAATTTACCATCACCGCCAATGTTCATTGGAAATGAGGACGTCATTTCAGAATACGTCATTATGTTTTCAATTCCACTGAAGGATTAAGACAAAATGCTCGTTATTAAAATTAAAACACACCAGTTGTGTCAATAGTGTACATTAACATGATTAAATATACCAAAAAATAAATAAAAACCTTGATTTAGTAGTGCCACACTTGTAACTACTCAAATACTTAACTACAACGTCACGAAAATATTCTTAATAATTTGGCAATAAGCCCCGCCCCCTCTAAAATTACTTAATCGTTCAACAAAATTTAAATAACGTTACAATGAGAATGAAGCTTAAATCGTAAAAGAAATCACAAATAAACGCCCAGACAGGAAAATGTCATCCAATAATGTTGCAGATAAAATATTCAACGCTATCTATTACGGAAATGCACGTCATAGAAAGTTCTTATTGGACAGCAAAAGATATACAAACATAAACCGGACGTGTAATGCTAGCGCTGCATGTAGTGACCTAGAGGCGGGACGGTGGGCGGCGAACGCCCCGTCCACCTTACATTTCTACTATAAAGGCTATATATTGAAAATACTCTATTGGAAACTGCATAAACGTAGAATCAAAGATTTCAACGAGCGCTACAAATTTTATAACGCATAGAATACAATGACGGTTATCATTTCAACATGATCTTTCCATTTCTTTTTTTTACATGTGATTAATATAAGACTTATAATTAATTTAAACGAATCTCACCAATACACATTATTATTATTTCAAGATATAATATGATTAGAATGAAAATAATCCAGAAATAAAATTTCAATCATATTGAAGTGCAAGCCATTTTACTAACTTAATTCATTCGCAAGCCTCCAACTTAAATGTTCACAGACAGAGTTCAAAAGACAAACTTTAGAATTAAAATGGGAATTGCATTTAAACTTTGAGCTAGTAAAACAAGATGAATCCAGGTCTTCCCATTACACCTAGCCCTTGAAAGTATAAAATGAAAGGCTGGAGTAATTAGAGATGAAAAGAAAAGTGAGAGTGCACAAGATGGAGGACACGGCCGGTGTAGGATTAAAAGTTAGCGACAAGTTACAAGTTAGCAGTTGACAGAAACGACACTAAAGCTTAGAGCACAGTTTAACTTTAGCTTTAGTGATATTTTCATTACGCAAGGCATCTGAACTTAGTGACAAATTAGTTCTATTAACGGTGTCATGACAGGTCAGGATAGCTAATAATCTGACTATTGGTATATTTAGGTTTGGCGATCTGCCCAGCAATACTGCAACTATTATTACTGCCAGCGTGTCCAGAGTCACCACGATATCTACTAATCACCCGCCAGTGGGAGGAGGAGGCTCGACGAGCTCTAAGACGACTACGGGCCAGTAATCAGGTATGCATAATTATTTTCGATGTCTTATTTGAATATTTTCTTGGTATAACTCTAACCTATCCTATCTAGGTTGAAGAAGATATCGAAGAAATGCGTGCAGAGGAACGGGCGCAGCAAGCAGAAGCATCAATCTCAATGCGGGAGCTTCTGTGTTCTCCAACGCTACGCGCTCCATTACTCATTGGCGTCGTTATGCAGTTATCCCAGCAGCTCAGTGGCATCAACGCAGTAAGTGGTTTAGACATACGATTTATACTTAAGCGATATTCTAGACTTATCATAGTCTCTTTTATTTATTCATGGTATCAAATTAATTAATATTTATATGTATGAAACAGTCCAAATTCTATCATTCTATTGTCATCCCAGGTGTTCTACTATTCCACCTCGCTGTTTACCTCTTCGGGCCTGACGGACGAATCTGCAAAATTCGCTACAATGGGTATCGGAGCCATCATGGTCGGCATGACCCTAGTTTCACTGCCACTCATGGACCGCACTGGAAGACGGACGCTGCATCTCTACGGCCTCGGGGGAATGTTCATCTTCTCTATTTTCATCACCATTTCATTTCTAATAAAGGTGTGTCATATAAAATTGTGGTTGGTAACACAATTCCATTTCAAGTCAAAATAAGGATATTAATCAGATTCTACACATTCCAAAGTTAAGGGTTTAAAAGTCTACAGCAAGTAACTTTTGACCAAGATAAAAATTGACATGGAATAAATATTAAATACTGCCAAATTATAAAATTACCATTGATGACGATTTTTTCGGTTCATGTCTTGTCTGTACAAAAATTTCCAAAATAATTCAGTGAACAAAAGTGTTATATTTAATTTATTAATTTAAGTTAGAATAAGTAGGGCCAGTGTTGCACTTGTGACGTTGGCCCCAAATGTGTTCCTTGTGAGACGCCGCTTTGTAACTCAGAGTCATTGTAATAACTACCTAATGTGTTTACAAAAATTTGTATAATAATGTTTATCGTAGATTTGGACAAGGAACACGTTTAAATATTGCTTTGGCACGCTTTCTCATCGCTTTCTTCACCTTCTATCTATACGACTCTTCTATTACAAATACTTCATTGACTACTTTCTGTCATACCCCAATTGGTTGCTCGATCTCTTCCAAATCAATTTATTAAATTAATAATTTTCTTTTATTTCTTACTTATTGACTATTCTATCTCTTCTGGTATATCTATTGAATGAGACGATTTGCATGACGCAATCTGAATTATATAGTAAACTTAAAAGAAAAACTAACGTTTGTATAAACAACGATATAAAATGTTAAATAAAAATAGTAGATTTTATGTTAACCTGCTAAATCAGGCTCAGATTCGTAACAAATTATTTTAATTGTTTTTATCGCAGATTTTTATAACAAATTGCAATCAAACAAATCGATTCAGTACTCAGGCGAAGAAGTATAAACACTAAGATTTAAGTCATAAGAGTTAATTCTTTTATTTCAACGATTTGGATTATGCCATTCAACTCGTCTATTCTCAAATAGAATGTAGAGTTAAATTTTATAATAATATTAAAACTAAATTTTCTTGACAAGAATTCAATTTCTATATTTAATTAGTTTGTAGTATCATTTTTCCCTTTTAGTGTAGACACTTTTGCATGCACCCCATCTTTAATCCCTGGTTTATTTCTCACACACTGTCATTTGCTTCATCGGGTATATATGTCTCCAATGGTCTTAACGCCTGTTACTGTTTTCAGCAATTCATTGTCATCAACATCCGTTGTTGACAGTGGTTTGCTCAAGGTAGCGGGATTTAACAATCATTGAGACATATATACTCGTCGCTTCGCTAGCCCTCCCCCCTCTTCGACTTTCCTGTTTCCGAAACCGGACTCTCGGTAGGAAAGCATTGTAAATAATGGGAATAAATTCTCAAATATAAATGTTAGGAACATCACTCACAAAGCACTAAACACTATTTTTGTTGGCCACAAAAATGTGGCAGAAATTCACGGGGAGCTCAGCGCACGCGTTTTTAAATGAAGCGAAATTTATAATCACACGAACACTGCTCAAAAGCAGGATGGCACTTATCACCAGCATTCGCAGTACATACGATAGATGGACGACACTACGCTACCAGCACTCAACTACTGAGTCAGAACTCCACGCATCGCGCGGAGCACGGACGGACACACGGACAGACTAGTGTGTGATGTGCATTTATGTTTGTGGTTTATTTCATCATCCGGTCGGCGACGGGAAAGGACACCATTGCTATCCCCTGATAGGAGTTCTTCGGCTATGTGCAGGAAATGATCGATTGGATGAGCTACTTGTCCGTGGTGTCGACGCTGAGTTTCGTGGTGTTCTTCGCGGTGGGTCCTGGCTCCATTCCCTGGCTCATCACTGCCGAGCTGTTCTCGCAGGGCCCTCGCCCTAGCGCGATGGCTATCGCTGTATTAGTTAATTGGATGGCCAATTTCGTTGTCGGAATCGGCTTTCCTAGCATGAAGGTAGGTCACTGTTTGTGTGTTTGCCCAACAATGTGTGTAGGATTCCAATTGCCATCCGTTAATTAATATTGATACAGGCACTCTGATCTTCTAATTACGGTCAGTCATATTTGCTGTCAATATTGATTCCAATCAAGTAATAACGAAATTGAGGATCGGGCCTAATCCGTGGGCAAACAGATTACTACGTATTCCTTAAATTTTGGTTAACAATGACCGACAAAATGTAATGTTTAATATTATATTTCTTGTTGCGCCCAATATTAACTATTTTTGTTTTGCAGGCACTACTGGAAAACTATACATTCCTGCCTTTTAGTGTATTCCTTGCAATTTTTTGGATATTTACGTATAAAAAAGTTCCTGAAACAAAAAATAAGACCTTCGAAGAGATTTTGGCACTGTTCCGGAATTCCAACGGGAGGTAAGAGACGGCGTCTGTTTGATTGATATGTTTTGATTATAAGGCACTGACTGTGTCCTACCATTTACATGACACATGATTCATGATTTTCCTTATTATCACGACACGGCACGAAACCAGACTGGTGCTGGTCATTCATGAGCACGCGATGCACGTGATGTTTGTATAGCATTATGTACATACCACTGGAACGAACGGTGTTACCCTTTGTTACCGAGAGGGCTGCTGAACTACGCCCGACCCACTGTGTCACGTGTTTCAGATCTAACTATGTTTTACATGTCACATTCATTACTTACACTTTCAGTAAAAACGGGCAAAATAAAAAATCAATAGTCTCTTAATAGAGAGGAATGTCGTTTCGGATTCCAGAATAAAATTTCGAATTTTATTTCGTAATAGATTCGTGGTAATGATTCGTGTTTTCGAGATACCTTTTGCGTGTAGAGTCTAAAACAAAAGAACACTAACGAAAATTATATGAGAACAAGTCATATAGCCTCGACAATAATAAATAAATAATAGATCAAAACACTACCGAAGCTAAAACAAATGTGTCTGTCATCATAAAGAATGATGATCAAGTAAATGTTAGAAGAATGAAAATCATGAAAACATGGGGGTATTAAAATAATCGGTCAAAGGGGATGATTGGAGACTGTGTGCAGGGACAGTTTTCGCGACAGCCGCCTCTACGGGAGTATGATGAACTGCGTGAACGCGTTGGAACAGCAGCTGCCACCCCCGCCTCCCCCCGCCCCCGTTGACGAGAAACACGATTCGCGTAAGTACCACGCTTTATAACACCGCATTCACATCACCATGACGCCTACATTTGCATAGCAAGGAGAAGCCATAAATGGAGTGAACATTCCCGTTTTATAGACATTCCGCGACTGCAACGCTATCTTTACGACTTTCATCAGTCTGAAGTTGCATTTTTATTAAAGCACAACAATTTTCGTGTATGTCCTCCATTTCTTATCTTCTCAAAGGTATTATATTTAAAGTATAAGTAATTAAAATTTTACAATTTAATAATTAGTCGTAAATTAATTAAGATACAATAGACCTATAGCTTTATTATACTGTTACCAATACTGAACTAAAATTCATTTGAATAAATTTTGACACGATACGGAACACTTCATTGGACAAGCTTGTGTACTTCACAGTCATCGATGTACATACATATGCATATGTATACCTGTGTTGGCATGTTCTGTTGGAAAAATAATGTGTTGATGTCGGTACTCCAAACGAGGCAATTTCGATAATGAGTTGTATTATATTATGAGTTGTATTTAGTAAAACGTGTGAGAGACGATTCGTTCGTTCGTCTTTGATCAGATAGAATTGCCTTGTAGGATGCCTGTGCTCAGCTTGCAAGCCTTTTGCATTTGCAATTTTTTACCTATGCTATGATGTTTCTTCAATGCTTACAATTTCTATAGTACTTCCCCTTACCCTTTATAACAATGTTTTTTTTATTAGTAACAATAATTTCTTCTAAAGTCCTATGTTTTAATTTGAAAGTTTTCTTGACCTTCGTAGGTTAATTGTATATGTATGTTATGTTTGTTAATTCTAGACTTCTTGGTGTGGGCAAAGCTATGTGTTCTGTCAGACTGGATGTGTTATTTTATGAAAATTTATATAATGGGGCTACCTCAAGTGATTTGGCAATGATTTCAGTGGTGCTACGTAATTATGTATATATAATGAGTTTCCTTTATTAGCGAAGTTATAACCCGTTAATACCTTAATCATATCTACCCTAATTTTTTTCAGTTCAACAGTGTTAGCATTAGTTTCACTCGCTATTTCTTTAGAAAAAAGTCCAGGCTAAGGTCGAGATTTGTAGCCACCTACTTAAGTTTTGTCAGTTAATTTGAGGTATCCCTGTGTGTTTATATGAACTGGATAATATAACACATTTTTCTATGATAGGGTGTTCACATTGTGCCGACAACACGTCACATTGGCCCGCTGATATATCGGCAGACTTCAAAATTTCACTGAAAAGAAACAGCCGCTGAGAAGAAATGGAATAGGTTATTAACTTATATCTAGGATAAACTTGGGTTAAGTACCATCATTGCTCATTGAGCCTAATCAGGTATTATTGGCGAGGAACAAGCCAGACGAGCCCTCAGCTGTCATACAAACGTTCTGACCTGTTCTTTCGCCGTCATGCTGTTATTTATTAAACAAAATTCAATCAGCTTGCTAGATTAGGTCGAAGAGTCCTACATCGTATCTTTAGCTACTATAAGATTATTGATGTCCTAAAACTATCACTTAAGTGGTTCAATAGTAAAATTGATAAAAGTTCAGGTTTAAAAGCGGATACTAGAATTGGACTGGTACTTGAATCATTTTCTGAAAGTGTCTAGGATGTATAAGTGCTGACAGCATACTAAGCTCACAACAAGGAATTCCTAGTAGAACCTTGATGAGTTATGATAGCGTGAATGTTGTTAAGTTGGAGTAGTGAGACGCGACGGTCCTGGTGATAACCGAGCTATGCATTTCAGTATCGGAGCAGTCTTCGGGTGGGGGGGAGGCGGGCCGGCCGCCGCCGCCGCTGCCTCCGCCGAGGTTCCCTGCCACAGGCAATGTCTGACAATGGGAGACCGCTGCGAGGGCGCCGCTAGTCGCCCCAATCAAGGCCGCCGCCAGCTTCTTGTTTCATGGGCTCAGACGTCAGGCCGGCGGCCGTGCCACCATTACTACCACACAACAAATGTTCTAAATCGATGTGATTAGGTATAAATCGAAACTAGTAAATAAGTCACGGCGTAAATTAAACATACATAGTTCTTTAGTCGTCATTTTATGACATAATTTATGAAAAAAAAATGCATAGGTACCCTGTAAAGTGCCATCGTTTCTTGTACCCATTTTAATTAGATCTTCTCATGATGAATTTTATCGAGTACTTGGGGTTCGGTAATTACGGTCTACAGATAATAGCTTCCGATACCTATTTATAAATTTACTGATAAGAATGTTGCGACGGCGCGCAGGAGGTTCAATATAAAATAGTAGATTTTATCGAGTACTTGGGAGCGAGCTGGTCAGACGTGGCGGGAGGGCGCGCGTGTCTCTGGCTGGCTGCGTGCACTGCTCTAACCCGACTTATCCTACGTAGAGTCAAACACTTAAAATGGGTACGGTGACTGTACTTGTGCTGACGTTCCACGTGACTCGTGACGTCACGAACATGTATAGAGACATGTAAATACATGCTGTGACTTTATTGTATTGTTGATTTTTATTAAATTTATCTAAATATATATTAATTATATTATTTTACAAAAGTTTTTATTATCTTTTTACTCATAAATTATTGTTATATACAAATGAATATGAAGTCATATCCAGATGACAGATATTATTAGTTAATATGACAGATGTAATAGAGAGATATTATTGATCAGTGACAGAAGAGATTGCACTAGTTTGCATTCGGGAATTGATTACGATAAAAGTGACATATGTATGTCTGTACGTGTCATAGCAAACGATAACCTGATATACACAATGTTCTGTTGGATTCTAATTATGTTGACATTCTTTTGTAGCATAAGAGATAATAAGAGAAATTATTATCTTTTTAATTGATGAATAAAATGAATAGCGTTATAGTAAGTTATACAATTTTGTGGAGACTTTAATAATGTAATGCTTTTAACTTATACGCCCCTAGAAAGAGAAAAATTAATTACTTATTAGTTAGGTTTCAGTAGTTACTACAGGGTTATAGTCAATTTGTGCGTCCGTGCGTTCGTATACTGCTCAATTCAATATTATTAAGACTAAGATGATCTTTAGTGTGTCGTGATTGGTGCAGTAAGCACGGCCTAATATTAAAAATGTGTGTTGTACGTCGCTGACGATGACTGCTATCATTTAACGCAATAATTGGCTCAAATGATTTGTCATCTCGTGTATGTGTGGTCTCGAGTAGGTCGCGTTGACGCGCGGCTATCGCAAAACTCGCAGTCGAGGGATATTAAGTAAATCGATAGATTTTAGGGTGTCTTACACGGACGCGCGGCGCCCGCCTCAATCCCGCGCGGTCGCGGCCGTGTCACACATCCCGCGATCGTCTTAATTCTAAATTAACTATAAGACTAAAATATTTTCCAAATAAAATAATAAGAAATAATAATAAAAAAATATAATTGTACAATTTGCAACAATAATGTCATTTTTAATTTATAAGCAATAAGTAGATGGGAATGTAACTTTTAATTGGTGTAGCATTCGACATTTTTGTATTGTAATAAGTCACAGTAGATTTTTTGTAAGTTATATTTTTATGGATAAATGTTATTATTGTGTTAGTGGGCGGCACGCGATGAGATCGGTGCTGCCGGCGGTAGGGCCAACGGGTCACAAATTATTGTCGCTAGACCTCATAGCGGATGCTATTGGCGATAGCAATAGAGACTGTGTCTCGAAATCAAATAGTATAAAATAAATTAGACTTAAAGCAACGTTTATTGGTTGTTCCGATATTTCGGTGTTATTATAGTTTTACGGTCGAAAGCCCGAAGATTGTTCGAAACCGAAGTCCGCGCAAAGTTAGCACAAGTTTGTACTAAACAACGCACAAACGAGGTTTCAGTTTACATACGCATATGGAAAGAAGCAAGCGTACTGATTTGTAATTAATTTTTGTAATTTACTATTTTATATAATTTAGGTTACATTTGGTGTAATTATGTAACATCGCCATTATGCCGTGTCACATTAGACTGAGAAGTACATTAAAGGGACGTAAATTTAATTTATGATTGAAATAATAAAGTCAATAAATAATAAACAATTCAATAATTATTCGTAAATGTAACATTACCGTCGAATTAAAGTTAATGTATCGTTACCGATCAGTGCGCATCACATTACTTTAGTTACATTTCTGAAGGCTGTGATCTTTGTGAATGTGCACTCAATAATGACAGTATCATTAGGTAAGTTTACACTCAATGACCCGTGCGACCATGGAATATGTTTCCGTTTATCTTCGGGCAAGCGATAGCGAGTAACTTGTAAATAAATTTAATATAAGTACAAATCTGTACAAGATTCAGTCGAGCCAATGCGACGGTCGCAAGAACTTTACCATTTTGGATACCTAATAAATTCTGTTACATTTTCAAATAATATATTGCGTTGACTCTTGATAAATAGACAGAGTTGTAATACATTGTTGAACATTCAAATATTTAATATGAGTTGATTTGTCTTTAGTAAGAATTATCGTTGTACCTAAGATATATATATAGATCGATGTATAGTCAAATTATTATAGACGAATATTAGTTTCGGTACAAGCTTATATGATTATTTATATCGTATTGCGAAGAATTAGATAAAATCGAAGTGGTAAGCATTGGATCGATTGAACTTAAAGCCCATTACTATTATAACCAATCTAAATAACTTTTGTATTATTGTAAAAGGCATTGTCTAATAGAACTTGAGACGTACGAATTGACGAATAAATACCCTGGTAAAAGATATTATTCAAACTGTGTAGTGTTGATCTTAATGCATTGTAAGCGTCAGCTAGTTCTTGTAATATTGACAGGCCTCCGCAAAGTCGGCGTTGGCATAAATTATTTCATAAACCTTACAAAGAGACTATACTACAAAGGATTAAATACAATACGATGAGAAAAAGACTGCAACATGGCTGTAATTTTCCTGCAATTTGAACTGAGACGTTTCGATGTATTAGATTTTAAAACCTCCCAGAGATACCCCTACATCCTTAATAAGTATTACGTAACAATCAAAATTGTAACATGTTCCGCTGTTCGAAATTGGTAACATGTTTCACTTTCAGTACTGTAATGTCTTATGAAATAAATTACGCCAGGGCCGCACTGCAAACAATAAAGCGTTGGATTAGTATGCACTCACAAACATTTCGTCCGTAGGTACTTTAAGATATTTTGTACAATGTAAAGAGTAGTTAGCAACTCGATCCGGAACAGAGTTTTACAACGGGATATGATTGATTTTGGAATTGATTTTTAAAGTTGGTTATATACATTATATTATTATCATCTACACACGATATTATTAATTGTTAAGGGATCGATATTATCGGGTTGATTCGATGGGAATATAGAAAGCACTAGAGATGTCCAGTTGCTAATGACTCTTTTGTGAGTTTCTCATTTTACTGCAGATATTTTCAACTACGAATGTAGTAATATTATTGAGTGATGGACGTTTCAGTTAGTGTAACTGGTATTTTGATATTGATCTCGAACCAATACCGCGTTAGAAGATTTAGAGTGATAGGGATATTTTTTTATATTGGTGTATGTGTCTGTAGTGGGGTGACGAGCTGTGGAGCATATTGTCCAAGTTGGTTGTAATGTAATGGGCGCCCGACCACAACAAGTGTGTGTGTAAAGTAGGTGGTTCTGTCTCGTGGCGACGATCGACGTACGGACGTACAGATCAACGAACGCTAGTATATGCCCTGTTACTTTCTAAAAAGCACTCTCCGCAATTTATGCCACTATTAAATATCTGATGCGTTTGAGTTTCAATAAAAGGAGGATACTCCGAACTTGTACAAAATAAACTTGTAAAATTTTATTGGAACTACTTGTTATAAAAACATCAAAAAATATACAAAAAAAATATATTTCTGTCGTTTTCTTTCATACATCCTAATCTTACCATACACATGCTAACACAAAAGTAAGATATGAGAAACTATCAATTAGAAAAAATAACCTACACTGCCAGAAAATACACTATTAAAAAAAAATCATACATACTTTAAAGTACTTCAGTTGAAGTCTAAATTCCTTTAACATACACGCATACACCCATATACATAACCATTAACTTACATTCAAGACTAATTTTAATCGAAGCCTTGGAGAAAGTTTTTTAACAAAATCACCTTACCAGAAGAAGAAGAAGAAGCCTAACGCGACCTAAGCGAAACCTATCAGTGAATTTTAATTAATTTTAGTGAGCGATTGGATGCTTTGTCCATAAGTTACATGAACAACGTGTTCACAAGATAGAACGATTAAAAACCTAATAAAACCTTAGTCGACCGAATAACCAAACCAGATTTCATACAGTACTATCTTATACTGAAGACAAATAATAACTTCACCTTATGAACTAAAGAGTTTTCAGTGTATTTTACTCACGAAGAAATGTAGGCGTAGTTAGCATAAATGATATTTATTCTATGAATCATCCCTCAAACCTGTTGGGGAACACCTGTTGTCCTGCTCTAGCAGATTCTCTCGCTCTCCGCTGATTGGCCCGTGTCACCGAACTTGACCCGCACTGCTTCACTCGTATTTTCTATTAAACTAGATAAAATAGTTTCGTAATTTTACTGAATGAAAGCGCTCTGTATACTTTTAGAATATAGGTAGTTTCTGTTCATACATTTCTTATTGGCGATGGTTGTGAGAGCTACTGGAGGATGAGGACTTTATTGAGGGGGGGATGGTCATCAAATGACTTCTGAGAAGAGAGGGAGTGTCAGACTCTTGCTGACTAAAAACCATCGCGTTCCTTCTCCTGCCCTAGGCTGGGATACATTATAGCGTTTGCCTAGCCAACCCAGGCTGACGAGGATGAGGGCTTGGCTTCAATATTCGACTCAAACAAAGTTATTAATGAAACAGTGTGCTAGGTTTTACTCTAAGTTGGTCGTTCACTATCGAAATCACGAGGACAACGAACGAAAATACATATACTATTCTGAAGGAACCTTCTTGAATGTATGCAGTGTTGGTATCTGGTGTACTTCTGGATTCTTTCTCGACAACTGCTTGACCAGTGGATGCCACTCTTAAAGTAAGTTTGGTGAGTTATCTATGAAACAACGTGTAAAATTTGGGTTCGATTCCCGGTAAGGTTGGAGATATGGTATTCTTGGTGAAAAAATCTGATCCTAAGTACTTACTTTAACTTAACGATGACCAAATGCAAAGCCGTAATTTTTCTTTAATATAAGATAAGGTCTTGGTGATTTAATGAGTAATGGGGAATTAAGTTCTAAGGACCATAGTCGATCTTGGGGAGAATTTCGGAACTCAGTAATTCGGTCACTCGGTCACACTACTTTTGATACAGTAAAGCTGTGATTTCGTACGCGCATAAAATCCCGCTTATTCCCGATAATATATAATTTGAAAGTGTCCCGTATGACTAAGTGTCTCTGTGACCTAGTGACCGAATGCCTTAGTGACTGACACATAGCCGAAACTATTGGTGAGTAGAAAACTAAGAGAAGAAGAAAGAGTAGAGAAAACTTTAGGAAAATGTTAAGAGATCCAGTATTTTACGTTTCGAAGAATGAAATAAAAAATAAAGAATAATGTATAGTTCTGCTTTAATTATAATTAAAGAAGTATTTCAATGTAGGGACGAATACAATTAAAAAACCCTTCTAATTTACTTACTTCTATAAACTGAGACAATACGGTCGATGACTATGCAACGGAATTCATCAGCTTATAAGCTCGCTCTGTTATGTAAAGGCTTCATCTCAAACGGCGAAGGTTTGAGAACTTGTACTTATATAAAAATTATCAGGTTTTCCTCGCCACTTGTCCCTTGACTGTTTATAAGTGGTGTCTTAATATATTTAAAGGGTAAATATAAATCGGAGAAAGTCACGTGTATTAGAAGCGAGTGTCTTAAATTCCGGGCCACCACGACGTTGAATTCAGTACTTTTATTGAAATTTAAACGCCAACTTATTATGACCTCATATTTGTACATCAAAAAACATACTTATTTTGCCAAACGAGCAAACGGATTACCTGATAGTAGGCAATCAGGATTAGGAGATTTTGGGGTTTGGGAGAGGAAAGATTGGGTCTCCGGTAGCCTTACTCGTACGGCGAAACACATTGCTCTATTTCTTTTACGCCGGTTTTCTGTTAGGCCGTGGCATTACTCTTAGCATGGTTCTTCAACATTTAGCTCACACACGCAGGTTAGCTTTAATGTTATTAGTTAATTATTTGTCTGTATAATATGCTCTCAAATGAGGCACGAACTGCGTTTAAAAGCAAAAGATCAAATCCTGGATTAAGTGACGCTGGTTTTCTTTCAAGAAGATAAGATAGGAGAATATTTCAAAAAAATAACTGTATCGTGCAATCATTTCATAAAAACATGATTGAAATAGTTTAAAGAAAATTTTAATTCATAAATTTTTGACTGACGAACTACCCTTGGGCTTCTAATCATAGGACCACATTTTTGTGTTGGTTTAACTTCACTGTTTTAGTGGTTTTTTAGATTGTAAAACCTGGCTTTCATTGACTTCTACTCCCAGTACTAGACTCGAAATTCTGCCTGTACAAACAAAAACTTGCAATATCTCCCCGCCTGGCATGAAGGGACAAACTTGGAGATCGCAGCATAAAAGGTTCAGGTTGACCAGAAAATCAATTGTTCATTATTGCCCTGTTTATCAAGTATTTGGTCAGTCGACTATTCTTATATTATACCCTCGTATAGAATAGAAAAGGTGGTAAATGCATTTATACTTACTTAAAAAAAAGAAGAGGATCAAATTGACACTAATATATTTGGCTCGCAGATTTTAAAATGTACAAGTTACCCTAGATAGGTTTAGAAAAATTAACAGGAATGAGACAGTACTATTTCCATCTTTATTACTCTTGGCATATTCCCAAATAGGTTGGGGCCGATCGTAGCTCAGCTGTAGTGACAGGCCGGAGTTGTATGTACGATTGTACGTATGCCTCGAGGGTGCGACCTGCAGTTCACTTAGTCCAGAAACAATAAAAAAATTAAGATAAATCTCCTCAAATAACCTATTCTTGCAAGTTGTAGTAACTTCTTTGGTAATACGAGTATCCATGGGCAAAATTGATTGCTTCCCACCAAGTAATCGGTCTGCCTGTTTGCCAACCTTATGACATGAAAAAATATGAATCTAGAAATAAAGCTTTTTAATTAATGTAATAAGTCTTGCTGACTAAAACCCCGTTCCTTCTCCTGCTGTTAGCCGCGGCCACGGTGACTCATTGCGCTTAACCCGCAACCCCGGCTGAATATCAGCTCTATTGGCTCTTTGAGGCACGCGCGGAACGCTACACGCCGTCCGCTCGGGCCTTGATCTGGTCGGGCGTCGGGCAATCCTTACTCGCCGTCGCGTCCGCAGACCCGCGCTTGCGGTGGCGGGATATCGTATCTCGATCACCGACGTCCCGAGGGTCACCTACTGCAGCAGCTAGGGCGAGGAAGATAGTTCCCTCACGTGCTCCGCGCGCCGCCACCGCCGATTACTTCCCCGAGGACATGGCGGTAATCAGCCCAAGCAGGGTACACCGCCGCCGTATGCTCCACCGTGTTCTCTGGGTGGTCCTCACAATGACGACAATCGGGCGTTTCCTCCCGCCGGATCTGAAACAGGAACCTACCAAAGCTGCCGTGCTTGGTAAGCACCTGCGTCAGGCCGAAGGTGAGGTCGCCGTGGCGTCTCACAAGCCGCTCCTCAAAGAGGGGTCTTACCGCTTCTATAAGAGCATGCCCGATAATTTACCAGTCTGACCTTTGTATATATGATAAAATGTCTAAGTATTAGTAGCGTTTAAAAAGATCCATTCCTGGGTTAGGCTAAGTGACGCTGGTTTTTTACGCAAACCTATATCCGCAATCTCCTGTTACATGAAACTAGGGAATTGTATATGTTCATTGTATACATTATGTATATCTTGCAAATTATTGAAGGTCTATAATTTTTAAAAAGCTTGTCCCGACGTAAGTGGTTTTTTCATGTGTTAGGTCGACAAACGAGTAGGTACCTGATAGTAAGCAATCAGCGCCGCCCCTAGACACCCGTAACAACAGAGGAGTTACGAGTTCGTTGTAGCACTTCTTCTTCTGCTTCTTATTGCTCGTGCACCTGCAACCCCAGCTGAATCTCTGCCTATCCTTAAGATAATTAAAAGGTAAGATGTATTCGATCAGTATTTAAGAGATAGACATTGACAAAGTTATTATCTTAAAATAAACAATTTAACGAATCAGATAAAAGCATGTCAAAGAATCATAAACAAGATGTAATATACCATGTTACGACAACATACAGAATTTAAGAGGCATGACATTGACATTGACTTATTGAGAATTTCCCGTAAAACCTATTCGGCATTATAGTATTCGGTGTACTAGGTTACATAAAGTGTGTGAAAGCTCGATGACTTTTTAAATTCCTAACATAGATCATAACATGTCAATGACACAAGTTGTCAAAGAACTTACTCCTTTAACCAACCCTAGAAAGCCTTGGAATTCGAAAATTCCTAGAAGAAAGAAAATCCTGGCGTGTCACGTTGAGTGAAAATGCTGGCGCTGAAGCCGAAACTGGTGACAGGTCTTGATGGAGAACTTCTGAGAATATCTGGTAAAGGAAGACTGGTAGAGAATGCTCAATGCCTAGTCCGCCCTATGTATACACAATGTATTATGCACGAACAAATAAGGTAATAAATAAACAAAATATCCTTTGTCTCATCAAAGAAAAGTTACTTTTGTACTTAAGTCGTAGACGAAATTTCATTTTTTTTTAAATGAAATATTTGAAACTGACACTTAGAACACTTTTGAAACTGAAACTGGACTAAATGAAAAAAAAACCTGTCTACATGACTGCCCTGTGATCATTAGATCTCTGGTCTCTGTAATTAGGAAGTAACGTATTGTAATCACAACAGTTTTGTTTCTACCAAAAGCCAATGAATGCTGGTCGCGAGTTATCGTTCGACGTGGAGGATTAAAGGGGAGGCCTTTGTTCAGCAGTGGACGTTTTCAGGCTGATGATGATGATGATGATGATGATAATCATCAATCATCATCATCATCATCAACCAAACTAATCAGTTCTTTCTTCAAACTTAACTACTAATAAAACACCACTGCTGCAGTGAAGTGGGTATAGCTTACACCCAATTCCGCATATTATATAACAACCTATTATATAACAACGAAATGGTCTAAATAAGTCCGATTGTATACACCTCGTATAGTCCACAAAACAACAAAAAATTGTCGTTAGAAAAAATAATATAAAAATTAAAATATTATTTCTTATAAACCGAGAAAATAATTAAAATGAGGACGCTTGAGCGAATATAACCACATCTTAGTCCAGAAATTCGGGCGTAAAAAGTGCTATTTTTTCTGCCAATAAAAGGTATTACTTATATTTTTCATCATAAATCATAATTTCAAATATAAAAGAGCATCATTCATTATAAAAATCCATTAGAAGTGCTAAAACAAAAAAGTTGCAAACAAGTTTTTGCACTCGCGATGCACGTTGCTTTTGTTATGCAGAACTTGTATCGAATACCAAACTTGGTGAACTTAACGACACGTGCATTATTCCGAGGTCACCCGAACTTGAAAGAGATGGCCGTATCGAAGTAACAAAGATAGCACCAGACCTCGTGGCCACTCGTAAAGTTACGCCGCAGAGTACGCCGCCCTCTCTTTCGTTTCGTATCTCGCCGTTTCAGTTGGAGGGTGGAGCTGACCCATTACATAAAGTTTATACATAATAAACGGTCACGCCTGAAAACCCTGAAACCAGATCAAGGCTGCGACGCGCAACCGATGGGTACCCAACACCATCTATTGACGAACAAGGCGAACTAAAAGTTTTTAAAGTCACAAAATACCTATTATAACTGTGTTTTTTCAGTACAAAACTATGAGGAACTGTTTTTTGATTTTTTATTAAACTTTATAAATACTTTTCTTGAAGTTTTATTCAGAAATTTGGCTAATTTATCGTAATTTCTACAGCTTTAGTGCGGCTACTCGACACCAGACGACGCTTATTTTGCAGTTTTGCTACTGGACACTAGATGGCTCTGTAAAAATGACTTAATTCAGAATTTGGCCTTGTTCCTCCTTGTCTAAAAAAGTATCTGATGTATTAAATCAAAGTTCGTAATGCTTGGAATTGGGATACAGCATAAAAACAAAGAAAATAAATATGTTAAATTCTAAAAATGTTCTGGGTGAATGTAGGACAAAATATGTCGGGGTTGTGTGATAGTGAGAATACCTGCTGTGTGTATCTGGCGGTAAACAAGGTTTATCGTAATTATAGCGTGCGTATTGCGTGGGTAGGAGCACCGCAGACGGCGCGGCAGGCGGCTAGCGTAACGCTACACTTACCCTTCACACGACACGCGTACATACACACAAAGATACAACATATAGTATATCTCTATTCATGCGGGGGTCGTGCCAAGCCTGGGATAAGGTGTGAATGCACTGCATTACGTTGATGTACTTTTACGAGGTCGCCGCGCAGTCTCGCATGAAACTAGGTACGATGCGCCAAACTAGGCTACTAAAAAAATGTTTTATCAGCTGCAAAGGGTTGATAGGGACGCATGTTTTATTACGAGGCAGACGTTTATTATTAATATTTAAATTACGATTATTACAGGCTATTTTTATGAGTGTATACTGGTTGTAATTTTCGGAATAGGTATGACTCTCTAAAAAACATAATAATATAAAAAAATATAATTCGCGCTACGATATTAGCTAGTCGTAGTGGCTCAAACGGTAAGACACCCGCTTCTCAATCATGATTTTTCATGATTGAGAAGATTGATTCTTGCACCCAAGAATCAATGTTGGATGTGCCTAGTGACATGCTAGTGCTTTCCCCCCTTGAGGCCAGCAACTCAAATTCTGAAGATTTAGTGAGCTAGTTTGTTTGGGATAGCTTAGCTCTTAGTATTTCACCAGCTGTTTTGACTTCTACCTTGGCCGTGCTGAAGACAAGTACCGCCTGGATATTAATAATTTCTAAGTTTATTTAGACACCACTGGGATACGGTGAAGAAAAACATCGTGGGGCAACTTCTAGTCATAATTGTTAACTATAATAAGTTTGAAATCGTCAATCCGGCTTGAGCAAGCGTTGAGATAAATGCTGAGAAAAAAAAAACCAAGAACCTCTGTGAGAAAAGGTCTGTGTTCGGCAGTAGTTAGGCACTTGATGACTATTATAACATATTTGTCGGCCTCATCTATATTTTGTGGTATATTTTCGGTGATAGGTCTAACTAAATATTAAATCTAAGCCTTTCCTTGGTAACTTTGCTTTGGAAGCGCTAGGAACGGCTCAACTTACGAAGTATTTAAGGCTCGATAACTTGAATATTGAAACCACATCACTATCAAATATCTATATTACCCCATCGATAGATAGAAATGCGCAAATTGAATGCGATGATAGAGTTACGTGTAATATTAAGAAAAAATTACAACCAGTCTGTGAATCACCGAAAGTGAAAAATGCAGTATATTTTACGAGTTCCCGGGAGAGCTTACCATCCACCTGGCACAATTCGTGATTATTATAGTTTTGTAGTTGGCACGGAGTCCTAGCCAGAACTGACTAGGTAAATCTCAGTCATTCAAATTTAAAAATCTATCAGGTGAACTTTAATACTTATATTTTTTACATACTAATAAAAAAAAAACATTTAATCCCACTTCAATTAATACAGTTGCACTTGTAACACTACTATCAAACTCTTAATCTAACCAAGAACACAACACGAAACGACACAACGTGAAAACCGAACAAAAATCTTCTCGTTCAAATATTCCATCGCACACTTCGTTAAAATATTAACACGTAAAACGTCCTGCGGGACGACGTATGACCGACACAAAATGAACGAAATAAATCCTTCACTTACCTTGTTCATTTACCTCGTGGCAGTTAAAGCTATAAAGTCTCCTGCCTCCGTCAGCTTATAGTCTCAATTCGTCTGCACTTCGCAACACTAAGCTCCCTCCAGGCAGAACACAATCCCCCAAGGCAAAAAGGGAATCACGAGCAACGTTAATTATAGGAAATAATAAAACAAAACAAAGTCAAAGCTCCATAAATGCAATTTCATTTTAATGACAATCCTACAGGACAATTTCTCGTTGTAAATTTACTCTTTTGAAATTGTTTTTTATGATATTGGATGGAGGGTGGCTGGGGCGCTAAGTGTATTACGCTGTCAATAGAAAATGGCTGTTTGTGATTTTTTTGCTTTATTCCATTCGCGGTTTGGCATGATGCAGTGATATGACCTATGAACTTCGTATGACTCTAACGTATTATTTTTTGTTATTGTTTTGTTCGGTTATGCTACGTGGGCGTTTATGGAAGTCGAGTGAAGTGAAATTTGGTTGAAATTTCTTTTCTTCTATACGTATGTTTTGGAGTTTATTTTCAATGTTTAGTTGATTGATTAGAGTCATAAACGCAATGAAATCTTAAACAAAAATCTATAAACATGAATGTATGTGGCAACAAACTGCTTAATTACTTATTAGGCCTAAAAATCACCTCAGCAACCTCAGCAAAAGTAGAGAAAGATACACGGACAGATGTTTTTTTTTGGATAAGTCGGCAAACTAATAAGCTATTATGGTAATGGTAACTGGATACCTGATGGTAAGCAATCGGCGCCCATCAACACCCGCAACACCGAAGGAGTTTTTTTATGGTTTAAGTCGGCAAACGAGCAGACGGATAACCTAATGGTAAGCAATCGGAGCCGCCCATGGACACCAACAATAGCCACCGCACCAACACCAAAGGAGTTACGCGTGCGTTGCCGACCTTTTGGGGATAGGGGTTGCGGATATAAGGATCGGGAAGGGATAGGGGAAGGGACGGGATTAGGCCTCCTGGTATCTCTCTCACACGGCGAAACACTACGCTGTACCTAGTTGCTTCACGCCTCCTTTTTTATGAGGCCGTGGTATCATTCCGGCCGAGCCGATTAATTCATGCCGATGTATAGCACTCCCACGCTTATTTTATCATTGTTCATTTTTGCCTTACGAGAGCTGATTGTGTGGGTGTTGAGAGTGAATTAATCTTATAGAACAGTTCTCATCCAGTCATATTCAGTATATTTTTTCTGAAATACCAATTAAATAAAATGTACCACACTATTAAAAATAAATGACATTATTTTTTTAATGGAGATTCATCTAGTACTTTCATAGTCACTCGATAAACTTATTAGAAAAGTATTATTAATTATTATTTAAAGATTTTTTTCCAGTATATTATAATAAATACTTTTACAACATTTTATTTATTAAAAAACGTTGCACTTCAATTCACAAACCCGCAGCAACAATATAAACAAGTGGCTCGAGCGTGAATCGAACTCGCGTAGCGTTTCACGCAGCCGGTTGTCCAGCCAACGCGCGAACTGTACAGTCTTATGGAAAGTTGAACTAAATTAATGAAGAAAGTATCCACTCTTTTTTTATTTTATTCAAAAGCATTGCTAGGGTTTTCTCCTGTGTCATGGGTGTGTTTTCAAACATATAACTTCACGTACACTTACATCCAGACCCGGAACAATAATTTGTGGAACACAGGAAAAGTTGTTCCGTGCGAGAATCGAATCCGCGACACGTTGCACGACAACCAGTG